CACCAGGAGCAGCCAGCGGTGAGAGGAAAAGAGACACAGCCTGCCAGTTCATTCTAAAGCACACATTTAAGCGACTATACCAGGGTACCTCCACAGTTCCCAGTGTTTCTCAGTGCATTCATGCAGTCAGCATTCACCAGAAGGTATCACAGACCCAATATGTTGGAAGATGCAAGTTTTGAGTTTCTAACAGTTGATCCAAAACTGTGGTTTAGAGAGTGGCTTAGGTACCACAAGCATCAGGTGTCAGCATGGCTGAGGGCAAGAAGCCCTTTTGCGCCTCCAACTGAGGCAGCATATTCTTCCACCTCAGCCTGGGAGCCAGACTGGGGCAAGCTAATCATGAAATCACGGAGAAGGTTCCCAGGCAAGCTCCCAAGGCCGTGTGCTCTTGCCTGCTTGAACAGTTGCATCCTTGCTGTGGAACTACTTACTATGTGGCTTCCAGAATGGCTCACCTCTGTGTTCCCCTCCACCTCCAGCTTCCTGCACCTTAGGCTATTTCTTCCCTCTCACAGTTTTCTAGATTCCTCTGATCTACTCTCAGAATGGCAGATGTTCCCGAGGGTTCCATTTTCATCTTTGCAAATCTCTGTATGGCCCAGGCAGAAGATTCTTACATTTCTATTGTTTAAGTAATCGCTACACTGTCAGCTCAAATCTCCTTCCTCAGACCATCACTCCTGCTTCCTGACATCTCCAGAGCATCACCCGTTCTCTTGTCTACAGTGGAACTCTACCCCTGCCTCCCGGACAAACGGAATCTGAGTTGTTCTCACCCTCACATCTGGATAAATCCACTGGTTCACGGCTCCTTTGAAGTTTCCATTTCTAACAAGGTTTCAGGTCTCTTCTGCTAATTTTGTCCCAGAGTGGTCACAGAAGCCTCCAGAGCCAAGACGGTGTTTTGTTGTTGAACTCAGCCGTGGTCTTTGACAGCCCTTCTAAAGTCCTCTTTCATCTCTTAAGACCTACAACAGGCAACACGCCCCACGGCCTGTGCACTCTGACATTCAACTATGCTATGTTTTGCAGACCTTCCCAGAATTCCATTGGGTGGTTTCGTTTTCCAGAGAGTCTCATGGGGTAGACCAGGATAGCTACAAACTCATATTCTTCCAGCCTCTTGAGTGCTGGGATGTCAGACATATGCTACCTTGCTCAGCTCCTGATTGGGCTGACAACTGTTCCTTAGACTTCCGTGGCTTTGTGCCGTCATTTATTCCGGAGAAAATCTCCTCCTGGCCCTTCGGATCCTAGCAAGATTCTTCCAGTGCCAATTTATAAATCCTAGACTCCTGGTACTCTGAATGAGTTAACGATGCTTACCCTCTCTGTCCTCTGGGCCATCAGTACATGACACTTAGTATGCTGTAACAGTAAGCACCTCCCCCCCAACACTAGAATACAAATGAGTTTTTCAGCAAGAACTGTAATTTAATTGTTGTTGTCTCCTTGGGGCCTAAGGCATGCTGAAACGTGGCAGACACTCAGAAGTGTCTAATTAACCTGGCATTAACAGGGAGGATTATACAAGGCAGTTGGTACGCTATCCCCAAGTAAACATTAAGTCACGGTACTGGTTCAGAGCTATGAAGACTATCCTTAGGGACCGCATTGGGGGTGAAGGCTGAATGGGTGAGAAGAGAGTAGTATGGGAATAGATTTTAAATACATGAAAACGTGGAAACACATGGGATGAACCATTAGGTTCTTCGTGAATTTTATCCCCAATAATTCTGTTGGAGCTTCAAAGCAGAAGTGCTCCTTCATACAAAGCAGACAGCCTAAAAGAAAGGGGAGAGCTAAGATTAATAGCTAGCGGTCTGCCTTTGAAGGCATCTGATAGAAATCAAAAGAACTTGCCAAATTAGTCTAGAGAGCTGATTAAAATTCTCGACACTTCTTCAGCTTTGAATCTGGTCTTTTCTGCATATGTTGCATAAAATATCTTATATATCCATAAAACATGTAAAATTTAAATAGCATAAATAAAAAGACCAGGATTTCTGGAGTCACTTATAAGTAAGTTTTATGCCTGGGGCATATGGATTAGGGCTTCAGTCAGAGGAGCCATTCATGGCGAAGGCTTTTCCCTTCCGACGGCGTTTCCTCTCTAGCATGCAAACTGACCTTCACAGAAAATGTCTGCTCATTACTGAACACTTGTGGCCAGGAGTGTTTCTATACAACAGAGGCAAGTCAGCTGTCCCTCAAGATCCTGGGGAGGCTTGGTTGGTTCTACCTATGAATACCCCAATCTATAGGTGCTCAAGTCTCATACACACTGGCCTGGTATCTGCATATGAGCTATGCATAGCTATGCATGTAGATCATCTCTACATTACTTACAATACCCAACGAGGCATAAGCAGGATATAAACAGTGGTTTTATCATATTACTTAGGTAATGACGACCCCAAAATAAACTGCCTATTCTGTACAGAAGCAATTTCTTTCCTGGGTATTTTTGACCCATGGTTGGTTGAACGGGACAATGGCGAAGCTGCAGACACAGGGAGCAGCTATCCTTTAGACTACATGCTTCTGAAGTGGGGGTGGTGCATTCACTCATGCTTGACCCGAGGGTTGCAAGACACCCTCAGTTATGTTTGCCATGATAATCTATGAAGACAGAGATTCAAAGCAGAATGTGTAACCAGACAAGAAGTATCTATGTTTCTTCCATAGAATAAAAGCTCGAAAACAAATCTCCTACCCCAGCACCAATGTTCTTGGAAAAGATCCAAGGTAAGGTCTACATCCCAGTGCAGTTTCAAGTTACGCAACTCTGCATTTCTCATAAGTTCCACATTATGAAACAATATGAAGGCAAACTCAACCCTATTGTTCCTTATTTAAATCGAATCAGTTCATATGATAGTCTTTCTTTGTGTGTGTGTGTGTGTGTGTGTGTGTGTGTGTGATGTTAGGTACCCTCCTCTCACTGAATCTGAAGCTAGGTTGTTTCAACAAGGCTGGTTGCCCACCTGGCTTGGGAGATCTGCTCATATTTGTCCCCCAGTGCTAGGGTCACAGGCATATGTCGGCATGCCTGTATTTTTTATGTGGGTCATAGGGATTTGAAGTTAGGCCCTTAGGTTTGTCGCCAGACAGTGGACAAGCTAAACTTTCCCAGGGAGTTTGAAATGCAGCAGGTGCGGGGTCATGCTGTTACCTCCATGCGTCTAACTAGGCTATCCAATGGCAAAAAGGCTGTGCACACTTTAAGTCATCCGGAATCATGCAGAATCATTCTATCATCTCCATGTGTCTAACTAGGCTATCCAACGGCAAAAAGGCTGAGTACACTTTGAGTCATCCAGAGGTCTGCTATGGTGGTGAGGACTAAGAACAGTAATGGCAGCTTGTCTACAAGAAAGATGAAGACAGGAATCCATCCCTGTGATGTCAAGAGAGAAAGAGCAGCAAGCCGTGCCTTTCCTCCTCAGTTACCCAGAGTCGAATGAGTTCTCTGTTTAATTCCTTTCACCCACCAGCATCCAGTGGTACTTAAACTTATGTAGACATCAGAATAACCTGGGGGGTTCTGGAAATTCCAGTTACTTGGCCCCATTCCAGAGCTTCTGAGTCAGGGGGTCTAAAATGATGCTCAAGGCTCTATATGGCGGACATATTCTCAGTGGTGGTAATAAGAACCACAGCCTCCACTGTTGCTTGAGATGCAACCATGGACTCTTTGATTGAAACACCCTGAAAGACTTCAAAAGCACAGGTTCATATCCTTAGCCCCTGAGGGAATGGAAATCACCCTGCCAAACTTTACCTCTTCCCAAGCAATGCTCATGAGCTCAAAACTTCAAGCATTGTGCTTTAGAAAAGTCTTATTTAGGGTCTATCCTACCTCCATGAACTATGGCAAGCAAGGAGCTCTCTGCCTAGGCCCACACTCAGCAAGAAGAAGCTGTGAGCTGACAAGGGCCAGTCATGTTCTTCCCAGTCCCTAGTCCTGACTGGTTATGCTGAAGGCCACAGCAGGAGAGCAAAGAGTCTTACAGGACTGCCAGTCTCAGAGAACCAGCCCATTAATGTCATCTTTTAGGCAGCCAAGTCTGGTCTTTTTTGCAACTAGCTCCCTTTGGACTAGCCTGGAGCCAGAAAAGGCCTCCCATTGGTGCAAAGGTCTTGCGAGCTATTTTAAAGAGCTCTGTCATGAAACCAGCCATGTTGTTGAACTCCATTGATAATTTCTATCACAGCTTATATCCCTTCAATCACAATGAAACAGACTTTATACTTGAGACCAAAAGTCAACACCTTCTAACTGACTGGCGTCTATCTTGAGACCAGAGGAAGTGGGAAGTAAAAATGAATGAAATTCATATATAAGTGTATAAAACCGTAAACAATAATAAGAAGTTATAACGGCAAACAGCATACATAAAGCAACCTAAATGCATGCACACTAATTAATTAAAGCGATCAAAGGAGATGATGACAGGGCTGAGATGTTCCTTATCCCAGGAAACAGCCACTTCCAACACCCACATCGAGCCCATTCTAAGACTGACCCAGCCAGGGTCACTACAGTGCCAGGTCTTCCCCAGTCCCAATCTCATTGCTTTGAGCCCCAGAGCCATAGAAGGAAACCCAGGCCAATGTCACAAACATGAGAACTAGGTTCAGCAAAGACAAACTGGAAACCCTCCATAAGCCAGCTCCAAGTAGAACCAACGCCCCAGTGGAAATTTCTAGACCCTGAGCGAGGAGCCAGGTAGAATCTGTAGCAGCTGGTGAGCTGCTTCTATTTGGAGCAAATCTGTATCTCCTGAGTCTCTATAACTGTGTTTTTCTAAGTTTGAGGTTTTTTTCTTACAGCCAACATGCTAGACTTGGGCAAATCTGTTCATCCGCTCGAAGATGTTCTAAAATTATAAAGCAGAATTGACGCCTGCTTGAGAACCTCACACTCTCGCTCCACATCCCCCCAGCTGCGTCAGAGGCCCAGCAGTGGCTTGGGAGGCTTGTAGTGCCTTTACCTGAGCTGGTGGAGGCCGGAGACTTGCTTCGCCTGGAAGGTCCTGGGCTCTTGGTTGTGCCTCTGCGGGACGACGATGCTATTTTGGTGTATGAAGTGGATTTCACCACGCGACATTCTGGGGAAAGAATGAGAAGACACGTGAGGTTTGGGAAACAGCCACGTCGGGGACACTCCAAGCCTCCAAATAACTTACCTAACTTACAATAGTACTATGAATAACTTTGAATAGTCTGATAAAGGGGTGCTTTTATTGGGACTCTCTCCATGGATCTTTTCAGTTATTGGTGGTTTTGTAAATTTACCTACCATGAGTTCTTTCTTCCAAGAAAACCGTTAGAAGGAAAGATCACTTTTACAAAGCAAGAAGTGTGATGGAAGATTCCGCCCACTTGCCAGGCCCAGTGTTGTTTCTGGGGTCCTTACTGGGGTAATTGTGTACCTAGGATGTGTGAGAACTCTATGTGGGTAACCATGGAAACCGGGTGTCATCGTCCTGCTTACAAGGAAACGATGACCTTCAGCACATCACCGAGGGAACCTGCTGCAGAGCTTGCTTTGTGTCTACAATTTGTCCAACCGTGGGGATAAAAAACAATCTCTTCTATTTTTAAGTTTTCAGTTTTCATGCTCATTAAATTCAGTGCTACGTATTGGAAATAATGAAGAATTTCCTATTTTTCTCTCAGTGAACTGTCTGGATTAATTATGACATGCAAATATGCACTATCTTGCTCTAAAAAAAATGCACCCTTGTTAATTAAAGCCCGTGTTTTTGAAATGATAATCAATTAGATAGAAAGATGTAAAATATATTAAGAATACCTGATAACTCGTGATCAAATGACGCCTTAGTTTTGAAAGTGCTAGAATATTTTTCTACTCATTTGTATTTTTTAATTAACAATGGAGTTAATCTACATATTGGCCTGTAGCCAGCCCTTTTCTCACTTCAATAATGGTTAATTTTTTTTGTCACCTTGACACAACCTAGAATCATCTGGGAAGAGCAAACTTCAGAAAATGCCTCTGCTGCTTGTCCTGAGGGCAAGTCTATGGTACATCTTCTTGAGGGATGATTGACGTGGGAAGGTGTCGCCCACTGTGGACAGCGCCACCTCTGGTCTTAAGTGGTATAAAAAAGCAAGCTGGGCAAGCCACCAGCAGCAAACCAGTAAACAGCACTCCTCTATGATCTCAGCTTCAGTTCCTACCTCCAGGTCCCTGGCCTCCTTGAGCTCCTGCCTTGGCCTCCCTCAATGATGGGATGAATGGGATGAATAAACCTTTTCTTCTCCAAGCTGCAGTTGGTCTTGGCCTTTATCACAGTTACAGAAAGCAAGCTAATTCGTGGGCATTTTTAGCTTGGCATTTGTAGCTGTCAAGCATCTTACTATATAGAATATTCTAACTCACTTAAGCATTTAAACTTTAAATTAAACTGCTTTCAGCATTTTGTTACTGTAATACCTTAGTAGCACCCTAGTAAATGAGCATTTAGTGAGCCAATCATTGACTTCATAAATATTTTGTCCTTGAAATTCAACTTTTAGTAACTAGAAGAATACATCGGAAGGGCTCAAAAATATTTGCTGAGTGAGTGAATTTGATGGATTGTAAGGTAAGTAACCTCTCTTAAATGTCTTCTTAAAAGACTGCTCTTATGTGTTTGTGTATGTGTATCTGCTTGCCAGTATGTGCACCACATGCCTACAGTACCCGTGGAGGCCAGAAGAGGTAACTGGATCTCATGGATCTGGAGTTACCAGGGGTTGTGATCTGTCATGTGGGTGCTGGGAACTCGATTCTGAACTGCTGAGCCATCTCCCCAGTTCCTGTAAGTTCTTAGAAGCTCTGGTCCTCAGCTGTCTCACACAAACCATGCTTTTCTTAGCCATGGTCGCTTTCCTGACCTCTTCTGGTGGTTGTGCATCCCCTTACAATCCCCTGTAGGAAAATTTCTGAACAAAATTAAGCTATCATTGCTGAAAACCTGAAGTGGTTTTATTGCTGGTAATGCTGCAGATTTTGTTTTGCCCACATACCCATCATTTGTGCTTCTTCTTTTGCAATGACTTATCAATGGCCTCTGCTTTCCTGAGATTGAGAGACTCTCTTTTTAGCTTGCATGAATACATGTTATACATCAAAATTTTATTCTTTAGCTTATTATGAATAAAATGATGTTAGTAACATTTCTCTTTGCTGCCAGCTGTTGAAATATGTTAACCTTTCAAATGTTTTCAAGAGTAGTAGTTAAAAATTGAAGAATGGGTCTGGGGGATGCCTAGTAGTCTCAAGATTCTGGGTTTAATCTTTAGGAGCACATGTCTACCCACACATACACACATACACATTTCTAACCTGTTCATTTTTATTATACCTTTTTAAGTTAAGAATTCACAATTCCAAATTCTGTGGTCTGGATTCACAACCACTGATGGCCAGCTTCATGTTGAAATTATACTTCCCTATGCATGAAATTCATCATTTTTTTAAGTTCAAAATACGTTTCTTTATCTGATCTACTTTGAGCAAGGTGGTTGCCATTGCCTAGTAAAAAAGAAACAGGTGTGCATAAGAAACATCAGTGCCACGAGACTAAAAACAATAGCTAGGACACAGAGAAGAGCCTCGTACACCGAACGGAGGCAAAGAGAAGAGAAAAGATTTAGTAAGAAGGAAGAAGGAAGAAGAGAAGGGAAAAGAGGAGGGAGGAAGCAGCAAGGAGGAAGAGGAGAAGAAGGAAGAACCCTGCTTTGAGGTATGAGTATGTGTGGTCTCTTCTGAATTTTCTTCATAGTAAAAAAGAACAGAGAAAGGAATCAAGGTTATGACCTATTCAGTGTCAGTCCAATCTCTCCCAGTGGTTACTTTGTGGGCACTGCTCTGGCCCACCCAGGGAGCCTCGGCTCACAATAGGAATTGTTTCCTAAAAGAAGATTCAAAACAAAACAAAACAAAACAAACTTCTCCTAGGGGCCTATCAACACAAAGTCAAAGGAACAACCAAGAAGCAAGTGCAACGCTGAAGACATAACCAGAAACAGTGGGCTCATCCACACGATGCGGGAATGCAAAGGCTTAGTGTGCGTCCTAGGAGGCTGTAATTCACAAAGCTCTGCTTTGGAGCCGGAGAAGAAAACCTCAGATTAGCCGAGGACTCTGTCCTCACCACTAACAATATATTCTGGAGTTCGTCCTAGATTTTGGGCATCTGCCCCGTCTTCTGGCAGCATGTTAACAACTGAACTGAATCAGCACAGTGCGGCTGGTCCACGGGCATGCCTCCAGGTACATTTTTATCAAGTGCCCACTGTGTGCCAGGCACTGAGGCTGCAGGCAGGGTGCTGAACAACACGAAATTGGAGCTTGCGGCTCCAAATGGTAGTGATGCTTTTTTTGTTGTTTTATTTTTGCTAATTTTGTTTCATAAGGCACAGCGTTTGAAAACTCTTAGTTATCCCAACAAATCGCTGTTAAATAACTATGGCTCCTTCTGATTTTAAATCAGAGCCAAGGCTGTAACGAGGGCAGGATGACTGGGGCTTTTTTGTTTAAGGTCATGGGTGTCTGGAGGTCACATAAATTTAAAATAATTATTTGGAAAGCTCTGTTAGTTAGCCGGAGTGAGTGGGCAGACCACAGAGTTACCAGATGGCATGGGCTGTTAATACTAGCCGCCTTTGAGCTTTAGCTACGAATTCAAATGATGGTTCTAGGATTATCCCTCATGCTTGCCACAGGGGCCAGAGCTGTTGGCTGTAACTCCAGCTCCCAGCACAACAGAACTGACCCTGTCACACTAAGTTGGGATTCTTCCAGGTACCAGCAATACATCAGATTGTTGACTCAGACAGCTCGGTCTGATCGGAGCAAATAGAGGAATTTCAGTATGTTTTAAACAATCCATGCCGTACTGTTAATCAATGAGAAATATTCATGTATTACTCTGCTTCTCTCCATTATCTGTTGAGTGCTAACTAGCATGTGGATTAGGAGAGAACACGGAAAAACTGCTCAGCAAATAAGACCTGGTGTATGTTTGTCCTGTGAGAACTAGTGTGAGCTCCCAGTAATCGTCTAAATCCCCTGCACACACTTTCCACGTGAGAAAAGCCAACCCTCTAGGAGCTAAGGGATGCACATCAGAGCACAAGCCACAAGGGGGGTTGTTTTCTTATCTCCATTTCCATGTGATTGACATTGGGACTTAATCTGCTTCTCCGTTTGTGACAAAATCCTGTGACAAAATCTGTATCAGTGACCAAGGCCAGGAGAAGATGAGTGAGTGAGTGAGTATGGTTCACGGAAAGGGGGGCAAGAGACTAGTTAGAAACTCAAGATGAGGCCGGGCGGTGGTGGCACACGCCTCTAATCCCAGCACTCGGGAGGCAGAGGCAGATGGATCTCTGTGAGTTCGAGGCCAGCCTGGTCTACAAGAGCTAGTTAGTTCCAGGACAGGCTCCAAATCTACAGAGAAACTCTGCCTTGGAAACAAAACACAGAAAACAACCACAAGATACTAAACCCAACTTTCTACCAAACTGTCCACTGCGTCATAAAAGAGAAATAACGAACTGACTTCGAGACATACAACTATATGGAAGTATTAATGTGAGGACCGAGAAGCCTGAAAATCTCAAATCTCATGCCCCTTGCCCCCAGGGTAGAACTGAGGCTCCCTGAGTCCTGTTGGGGATTACTCTAATTCTGAAGGCCTGGGGTGGATAACAAAAAGAGAAAAGGAACAAATTACTTGAGTGACTTTCTGTTGTCGCTGCTCTCTCTCTCCAGGGTCAGAATAAACTCAGTTAAAAAATGCTGTGGGGTTAAGATGTGTAGGGGTGTGTGTGTGTGGGGGGGGGTGACAGAGAGAGTCCTCCAGCAGCTTTTCAGGTAAAAGTTTAAGTTTTCAGCTATTTTTTTCCATTGGGATTACATTTTATAATGGTAAGAAATGTCATGAAGAAAAACAAATGATGAATGCCCTCAGAGAGAATGTCAGAGTCCTTGTCAGTCTAAAACCACCATTTTAAACACGAGGAACAAGCTGACCTAAGCAGTCAGCAAAGACAATGCCTTTTTGTTCACATAAAAGACATTGTCACTGTCTCC